TTACTGATTAAGTGCGCTTTGAGAACTTAACATACCTTTTTTTAAAAGTCTATATTTTTGTATTTAATGACCGGAACTATTTAAAATTGTTGCAAAGGGCTCTAGAACTTTTCAAGAGAGTATCAAAACTTTAAAAAAAATGTCACATTTTTAAATATGGTGTGCCAAGTCTTGGCACACCATATTAAAAAATGTGACATTTTTTTTGCAGTTCTGATACTCTCTTGAAAAGTTCTAGAGCTCTATGCAACAATTTTAAATAGTTCTGGTCATTAAATACAAAAAGAAGACTTTCAAAAAAAGGTGCGCTAAGTTCTCGAAGCGCACTTAATCAGTAAAATCAACTATTTCTTTAGAACTATTATATATAGTATATTATATATAGTTAGCATATTTATATAGGTTATAACCTATAGACTACTCTTTGTATCTTATTTATTTATATTAAATTGTTTAACTTTTTCTTATTTATTTATATTAAATTGATTAACTTTTTCGTCTTATGTATTTTTTTCTTTTTTAACAAATACATCGCTGCAACTGCAGCAGCTATATTCGAACTTCACCTATAATCGCCACTGTACATCTATAATATTTTATGTATTCTATATCTCAATTATAACACTCCATTTTTAGGGTGTATATCAGTTGGACACGGGGCAATTGGACACAGTCCAATCACAAATCGCTGTTCCAAGGGATCCTACAAATGTCTCTAATCACACGGTGCTGTGATTGGCTGTGTCCAACTGCACCGTGTCCAAGTGCACCGCTCCTCCATTTTTATACTTATTGCAGTTTATACAGGAGGTTAAACGTAGTGAATAGAATATAGGCGACAGCGAACAGCGTTATAACGCTGCTTTGAACTATGCTGAAGTGGGGATAAAACGCTAGCTTTTATTCGCTCCATAAAAAGAATACAGGAGATAACGAACAGCTTTTAAACGCTGCTTTGAACAACGATGGAGTAGGGTGAAACGCCAGCTTTTATTCGCTGCATGAAATCGCACCTTAACTTATTACACTAGTTCAACAGTGCAGCTAAAAAGAACAGATCATTTGTAACTGCACTTTCTAAACTTTCATGTAATCTTTCTATTCTCGTCTCTCTTTCATCAAAACTATCTTGACTTGTCAAAATTATCTTGACTTGTCAATCCATCTACTTTATTTTAAGTGCAAACAGTGCAAGTAATGCAAGTATAAAAAGACACAGACTTCTAGGCCGAATCCGTTAGATCACATTCCAAAATGTTTTTGCTGGTTAAATATTGTGACAAATTGTGTTTAGAAAAACGTTTCAAGCACACGCTTGCAGCGTGATTATACCATACATCGAAAACAAAAGCTATTGAAAGGTAAATGCTTTTATGTCAACGGAAAACTATTTTATGATAATTTTAACTTAGCCTAGAGGTAACCTAATTGGGTTAAATTAAAATCGAACAGTTTGATTTCTTAGGCCCGGTTGCACTAACGTTTTTGATTTTAAGCGAAACTTAAATATGTGTCCGTCTTTATTTATTTAGAAAGAAAGATAAAGATAGATATATATTTAAGTTTTGCTTAAAACCAAAATAATGTTGGTGCAACCAGGCTTTAGATGTTTAAAAGTGTTAAAGAATCACAGTAGTATATAAGCAACTTCGACGCGATAAATTAACGTAATATAAGTTCCGGTCTAATCACTAAGGGCGTATCCGAACTTTTTCGTATGTAACCTGTAATTTTTTTAGGATATAATTTGGATTATTTCTTTCCAAAGACTGGGCGAGTTTTTTAATTCATCGATGGATCCATCGATGAACTAAAAAACTCGACCACTTTAAACTTTATTGTCATAGGTTGCTTTCCAACAAGAGACACAAGTCAACACAAGTATCATCTTATCTTTATTACTCACTAAATGTTTGTGTCGACTTATTTCTCTTTTTGGAAAGCAACCACCCTTATAGAAATATCATACTAAGAATCATTGATAATTACTTATTATCCAGTATTTTTAATACTGAAAATAAGTAATTATCAATGATTCTTAGTATGATATTTCTATAAGGACACAGAATGACGTCGGGCCATTGGAGCTTGTAGGGTGCCGTCCCATTGAGCACGGATCGGAACGCTCATTATAGTAAGAAATCCGATCCGGCATTCCGATTCGTGCTCAATGGGACGGCACCTTTAGACGCTTGAAACTATAAGAAAAAAAAAGGAAAGAAAACAAAAAAAAACAAAAGAAAGAACAGATACGTGAATCTTTCAGATATATTTTGAAATTGTTTCTCTGTCTCGTTAAAAAAAGTCATTGCCAACAAACTGTTCAAAATCATAAATATCCGACATTTTCACGACACCCTGTATAACACAGTCAAAGCGTATGTCGCGTGTCTTTGCGTACGTAGAGGTACGGTTCCTTTTTTTTATTCCGAGGAAATACTTATCACGCTTTTTACAGTGGCCGCAATGAACGTACGCGACTCGCAGCGCGGTATTCGCATTTCGAAATCCACTGTGGGCGTAAATATGTTATTGCCACATCCTTTTCGGGATACCAATATTGGAAAAGTCCAAATCGTTAGCATTACCGGCGGTTCAGTCGTGTATACACAAATTCTGTAATGGCGATGTGATCTGTCGGGTGTGCACGGGATTTTCGCGAGTCACTGCTCAAATTTGCAGTGAATCTCTCGGATCTTTTGACAAATTGATCGGACAGACCACAGCTGTACGAGTGTACGTTATCTCTCGATCACCATTACGCCAACTGCTTGTTATATTGTCCCGATTCGTCAGACGGGTGAGACGGTAATTTGTTTATATCGCGTCCCGTATTTACGCAGTTGAACATTCATACATTTCGATGAATCACACGTTAACATTGATGTCAACCATTTACATCGTGCAACGTCGTCAATCCAAAAATATAACAATACACAATTACACATGTTGAAGATTGAATTTATTTTCAGGAAAGGGTTAGCATACACACATATACACACACATACACACTATGAGTGCATCCTGGAAACCTTGTGCACCTGTAGAATCGACGGATCCTGCCATCATGGAAAGTTTAAACAGCATGATTCTTAACATTGATCCAACCATTGAACACATGTATACCAAAACCATGTTGAAGTATTCTGAGACAAATAACTCTTGCACAAAGATTCTTAATAATAACAAAAATAACAATATTATTAAGAAAAGTTTTCTATTACTGGATGCACAAGAGAACTTAATGGTTTCCGATGCTAAAGAATTTGTGCAGAAATTGAATTGTGTCGAGAAAGATGCCAAAGTGAAAGTAGTGTCGATATTTGGGAACACAGGTGATGGCAAGAGCCACACAATGAATCAGACATTCTTCATGGGCAAGGAAATATTCAAGACATCAAACGAACAGGATTGCTGTACTTTGGGTGTCTGGGCTGCATTTGATCCGATACTGAATGTTATCTGCTTAGACACAGAGGGCTTACAAGGTAATATATGTTATTTTCTACACAATAAAAAAGGTAATTTTCCTTACTAGGTTTTTAACAGGTTTATTTCTCTAGGTGTTACAAATTCTGAGAATGAGCGTATGAGATTGTTACTCAAAGTACTTGCTGTGTCTGACATTGTGATTTACCGAATCCAGTCGGAGAGATTAAACAGGGATTTATTCACATTCTTGGGTGCTGCGTCGCATGCTTACTGTCATCACTTCAAAGCTGCCTTGCAGGCAGTAGGTCAGGATAAGGATCAAGTGGATTCCTTGGATCTGTGCATTTCGAGCAAACTTGGACCAAGCATCATCGTACTGCATGAAACTAGACATACCAGACCATTGACTAATAGTACGTTCAGTCCCTTCTTTCTCACTCACTCAGAGTCGCACTAATTTTGAAAATCAAAATCGAGAACATACAGAAAAATTTAGGCAGTAAGCAAATTGATCAATCAGTCAATGATTTTTCTTACAATATAAGGATAATTGATTATCACTCTGGGCCCAAAAACTTGTTGTAAGCAAATTGACTTCTTAAAATAATCGATTGTAGTTGATTAATTTATGGCTTAATGCAAAATTATGGATTCTGGATAATCTATAATAGTAAGCTATAGTATAGTATAATATAATAGGTATAGTAAGCTTTTTACTCTTATACTTTAAGATCTATAATTTCTGACGAAAAGTGTTTTTCACATTACTTTAACAGTTGAAATCTGGCCAGTTTGCTTAAAGCTTAGGGATTATGACTCTAGATAGCAGTGGAAAAAGTTTGTCTCAAAAGATTACGCCAGTTTTGAGCTTAGAGTTTGAGGCTAAAGGCTTACTACATCTATTGTAGACCCAGCCTAGTTGATGAATTTTCTTACTGCTTAAAGCTCCTAGCCTTTCATATTGTCTATCTCTTTTTAATCACATTAGAAGCAAGAAAATGCATGCTAAAAATTCTCTTACAAAATACATTAAAATAAAAATATATATCCATAAAGAAATACTTGCAATCGATAAAATAAATTTAATAGATATTCTGTGCACTCCTCTTTTATTCTAACAATCGATAATTCATTGTAAATTAACCTGAATAAAAATAGGTGAAGAAATAGGTTAAGAAGATGAATTGTATGTTAATTGTATGAGAATTTTTAGCATGCATTTTCTCGCTTCTAACGTGATTAAAAAGAGATAGACAATGTGAGGAGTCAGGAGCCTTCAATTTTATTGCTTATATTTTTGTATGTCATGGTTCTAACATTTAATTATGAGTAAACTGTGCCTACGATATAAATATATTGATTTTGATTGTTTTGTTAGATGGACCAGAAACCGCAGAGGATATCTTAAAGGCTAGATTTCAGCAAATGCAACTCGAAATCAAAGCTTTCAGTTCTATTACATATGTTGGTTTGCAAACGATGAACAATGTGACGGATTACAAACAATTACAATCCGTGATTAAAGCCGAAGTGAATAACACGATGGTTCGTTTAGCTAGAAAGCCACATTTGGTGTACAACGCGCTCAAGATGTTGAACAAAAAATTCTCTGGCGAGACGGAGAGTTCCTCTAATATTCTGTTCCCGAATCAATATTTCACCTGTCCAATCAAGTGTCTGAGTTGCGCGAATAGGTGTGAGAACAGTGTGGGACATCTTCGCGAAGGGAAACCACATTATATTAACACCAGGCAAGTTTCACCGAACGCGCTTGTTTTTTCGCTGTGTTACATTCAAGTAATACGCGCAATATTACTTTTTATCTTAATATTCCTATTTTAGGTGCCGATATCAGCGACAATTCGAAAATATGGTGTACATATGCAGAAAGTGTTACAAGAACGGGAACGAAGTGGAAGTGAATAAGATCGAGCAAGAGGAAGAGAGCTGGTATGGTATAGCTGTGAGCGCCTGGTCAGGATATATTATAGAGTGCCCGAATTGCGGAGAAATATACAAAAGCAGACAGTATTGGTATGGAAATCGAAATCCAGAAGAGACAGCAATACGCAAGAAGATCACTCATGTGTGGAATACGGTAAATATTCAGGAAATATTTTGTTGATTCTGTGTTGATTTACTTTTCTTCTTCAGAAAGGCAAAACACACTTACCGACTTGGTTCTTTCAGTCGAATCATGTTGTAGCGTCTAACAACACCGCACAGCGGGTTATCGACGGTGTCTCTTACATCACCGAGGCCGTCACAAACGTTTCCTTGCAGCCCACGAAAGCGCTGACCGCTTGGGTCGCGGATCAAGTGGCGCCTTCTTATTGGCGACCGAATAATGAAATAAAACACTGTCACAACTGCAAGACTCCGTTCAACTCGACAGATACCAAACACCACTGTCGAGACTGCGGGGAGGGCTTTTGCGCGCAATGCTCGTCAAAGACGAAAAGCGTACCCAACAGAAACTGGCATACTCCCGTGCGGGTCTGTGACAAGTGTTACGACAAGGAGACTAATCACTCCAGCGACGATTCTGCTGAGGCTACAGGGGATGTTAATATTCGAAAAGTGACTGAGCATGTGATGTCGACTCTTAACGTCGTTGGCACTGTATTTAGCTATCCCAAGTGTAAGTGTAAATAAGTATTCGCATGAAACATTTTAACCTGCTGGGGTGATTTGAAGTCAGAAAATTGATTCGATTTTGAAGTAACAAAGTTTTAAATATTATGATATATAAGTAAAATATAGTGTAATATATTATATCATAAATTTTAAATGCGATATCTTGTCAATTATATGATAGGATTTCTCTTTGTCTCGTTATAGAATTTTATGGTGAATATTTATTTATGGTGATGTTCATTATATTCTCAACAATGTTCGAATTAGAAAGAAAAATTGGACGTACCTAATAAGTGTACACATATGTGTCGGTATCCCTGATAAGATCAATGTAATTCTAACATTGTAGAAATCAATCTAATCACGATATTTTCCATTTGCGTAGCACTCATAAAGGATTCCATTCGGCCGTCGTACTGGATACCGGACTCTGAAATCGTTCACTGTTACCTCTGCTCGAGGAAATTTTCTGAGAAGCTTTCTCTACATCACTGCAGAGATTGCGGGCGTGGGGTGTGCCAGGACTGTTCGTCGCATCGTAAGCCGGTACCTCACAGAGGATGGGAAAGTCCAGTGAGGGTGTGCGATGCCTGCGTTTAATTAAAAATTTATCGAACAAAAAATATAATTCTCTGACGGTTTTACGGAGCAGAAACTTTTCACCAATGAGTTCATAAAATGATACGATGAGGCGCATTCAGCGACGCACGCAAACGCTGTTTCTTAGATTTATAGAATGAAGTGAATATCAATGTTTCTTTCAACGCGATTACTTTTGTAAAATGTACAGGAAGTATTTTGAATACTCGATATTCACTTTATTCCTTCGTGAGAGTTTAATCTTGCGTGTATACAAGTATTCTTAGATTTAACCTGACTGTCTCACAGTCAGTTGCAAAATTTTTGAAAACATTTTTTAAATGATATAAAAAAATCTTGTAACTTTGTAATTTTTTAAACTGACGTTCTGAATTTTTTTGATGTCGAATGCTCACAGTGCGAAACCAGCCGAGGTGCATTCTTGAACAGCAAGAAACATTACAACATCGACCGTAATCGAGGTTCGGTTTCTCTCGCAATGGGCATTACACGCAACTATTGTTATTACTATAAAGTCGTGCCCGTGCTAAAAAGCTCGGCTTGACATTACCATTTATTTTCACAACATTAAATACCCAAGAGACGCAAATAAATACATATTGAATTATTTTCATCTTGAGATCAACATGAATATTTGAAAAATAATGATTTTATATTATATATTTATTTTTAAGATGTTGAATAAAGACTACGAATGTTGACTAGTTGGAAGTTTTAATGCTAGTATTTTAAGCATATCCGAAACTGATACCTTCGGTTCTTGAAAGAAGCTTGAGAAGCGACTCCAAGAGGGGGATTTGCGCATACACAAGATTCTGTATGACGCGAATTGTAGTTTTCAATGTATAATTGTACAGGAATGTATGATTGTGCCATAATAATAGTTATTAACGTCGCTTACGATGAAACTTTCCGAGTCAAATGCGCATCGAGTATGTACATTATACCTTCGGTAACAATTTTTTATGCAATGTGAAGCAAGACTTATACATACGATTATTGATAAAAAGAGTATTTTGTGGGAAGCCGTGTTACCGCAGATCTACGTTGGCTATGAACAATGTTGTGTACATAATGTGGCGACACGCCTCACGATTGTACATTAATATTTGTACATAGAATGTACCGATAGCACAGTAATGAGCATAGGAGATAGTTATATAGAATGGGGTAGTCTGTGGAAATACAGTTTGCCCGTGGCTGTGACGACTGTAAAATTCCGATAAGAAGTATTTGAAGACTTTTGCGTTCGCAATCGTTCGCGAGTCGTTTCAGAAAAATTGTAAATTGTTACCTTTGTTGGTGTCCTGTACGTTGTGAATATAATGATAATTACAAATAAAGTTTGCGTTCCATTTCTTCGTGATGTCCATCGTATTAATTTTCCTTACATACGATATCGCTCGGAGTGCGAGCGTAGCATAGTGGACTATACACTAGTCTACCACGCTAGAGGCTCAATAGTGCGATTCTGTAACTCGTTATTGCAATTAACGACAATTTCGTTATCGTTGCGCAGCTTTTGTATGCCGTAGAAAAACTGCGCAATGATAACGAAACTGTTGTTAACTCCAATAACGAGTTACAGAATCCCAATGCAGGGGCCTTATTCTTGAAAAATATCGCATACGATATTTCTATGAAAAGCTATAGTATATGTAACATGAACTATAGCTTTTCATCGAAATATCGTATGCGATATTTTTCGAGAATAAGGCACCTCCGATTCCTAGAGGAAAGGAAAATTTTCGTACGCTCGCACTCCCCTCGGTAGGCTTGGCAAAACCTCCGAGGATATAGGATAAGAAATCTAAGGATAAAGAAATCTAAAAGGATGGAATTTGCCAATATAGGTTAAGATACACCTAGGATAAGGAAAAATATATAAGGAAAAAGGAGTAGATTAAGATATAAAGGTTAAGATGCGATAAAAAGGAAAAATGAAGAGAAAAGGCATATATAGGAAAAATGTATAAAAGACAAAGGAACTTCTTGGTAATAAAGCTAAAGTTGAAAATAAAAAAATAGAAGAAGTAAACATACAATATCGCTCGATAAAAGTGCTAATCTCTTCAAAAGCAAACGAGATCCGTCCATAACGCATGAAGAAAAAAAGATTTCTCTGCCGCAACTAATCGTGGCTTGCCGAAAATGCATTTGTTACTGTAAGAATTTACTACCGTAACCAAGATACTGCATCGTAGGTTTCGTAGCTACATATATGCTTGCTGTTAGAGCTATACTTTGAAGATATTCATATGTTACACCGAGATTTAGTTACCATACGCAGTTTTTCGCTATCACATTTAATTTTCCAGACAACACAATTCACTAAAAAACGTCCTACAGACGTTCAAAAAATGTCCTACTTAGCCGACCTTAAGGATCCTTGTACCTCGCAAGGAATGTTGAACTTGTAACGTCAAAACCGAGGAACGACATACTGACGAAAGTAGTGTGCTCTTTCTAAGTAAAGAGAAATATGGACGAAAGAGCACTTGAAACTATTCGAGACATATTTGTAAATTCGTCCAAAAAATATCCTTTTCTCCGACGATTAATAAATAGCCGTATAATAAATGGTGAAATAAAGCATACAGACAAAAAACAGATTCGTTTTATCATTTATTATATGATTATTTATTGATCATCAAGGGAAAGGAATATCTTTTGAGCAATTTTACAAGTGTGCTCAGGAAATCTCAAATGTTCTTTCGTCTATATTGATTTTTATTCAGAAATGGCACGCAACTTTCGTCAGCATGTCATTTCTCGCTTCTGACAATATAAATTCGACATAGCCGGCGAGGTGTAAGGAGCCATACGATATCTTTTAATAATTTGCGCTGTCTGGGACCTTTTTCTCCGTGCGCGTATGCGTTTTCGATAATTCGCCTATAACCACCTGATTAGAGATGGAGACTGCTCGAACAGACTAATCGAAACAAGGATAATGAGACTAGTGAAAAATAGACTGCATGAGACGACCGCGAAGCGCGGGAGGAAAAGCGGAGACTTGTGATAAATCGGCGACGAAGCGGCGCGGCGTGTGAAACTCGCGCGCGCTCGTTTGTATTCGTGGAACGAGATTCGAGGCGCCGTCGAGGTGTATATCGCGATTAATCGCGCGACATTCACGCGTAAGAATGTATTTCGATGAGCACGTGATGACGTCAAAATATGGCGTCTCAATCAGCTGGATGTTGTGTAGAGTGTGCCTGCGATGCTCGTCCTTAGAAAAGTAACGGAGACCACTGTCTGTCCGGCGAAATACGTGAGTTCTCCGTGCAGCACTGTGCGTGCATACCGCACAAATCGCGTCAGTCCCGTCGACGAGCGCGCGTGAAAAACCTCTGCGAGCAAGAGATCGGCGAATGCGAGACACGCGAGTGGCGGCGAGAAACGCGAGGAGGAGGTGCAAGATGTTGCGTTTAATTTAAGTCGACGCGACGCGGCTGCTTCACGCGTGAGGTGTCGTCCGCGACGAGGACGAGGACGGACGGCTTATTCGGTTCGCGACGCGAAATCTGTGGATCGTATCAGTCTTGTCGCGACAGTACACACACACACTCTCTCTCTCTCTCTCTCTCTCTCTTTAGCTCTCTCTCCCTCACTCTCTCTCTCTCCTCTGAATATATTTCTCGGCGTGGCGACGCGTGATTTAAAGAACCGGGAGAAAAGCTCGTGGCGACAGCCTCGTAGTCTCGCCACGGAATTTCCGTCGCGCGTCTCCTCGCGCATTTCGCCTAGTCGTCGCGCTCGCACGGTCACGGGCCACGTCGTTTTCTTATGTAATTTCCACGAGTGCATCCAGAAGCGCGTACACCATGTTGATACCGTGCGCCGAGTGATGCCGTGGCCATTTTCGTGTTTGCTCTTGAGTTTCGTAATCATTATCAACTCCATATTTGAATTCAACAAGTAATGCAGGCCGACACGCGTCCCGTCGTCGCGGCCCGCGAGACGATTCCGCGCCGTCGCGTCCACCAGATGCGAGATCGCCGCGCGAGACCGTCGCGATCCCGGTGAGTTTGTTCTTCCGCGCCGCGGAATACGGAAAAGTCGACCTTATTAACGCGCGCGTGAGGCTCCGTCCCGTGCTCTTCACGTGTTCATCGATCGCGTCTCGTGGATCGGTACCGCTCGACCGAGATTCCATCGGTCTCTCGGCTCCTAGTGCGAAGTTGCGTTCAGGGTGAAATTCGTTCTTTCAGCAATAACGAGACGCATCGAGAGAGAAAGAGAGACAGAGAGAGAGAGGGAGAGCGAGCGAGACGGAGAGAGGAAGAAAAAGAGAGACAGAGAGAGGATGTAAATAGCGCAGTGAAATTTTGGCGAGACCTCGACGATGCCATCGGCCGCGACGGAGAACGAGATCGTCGTCGTGCGAACGTGGTGACGCGAATTCGGGGAGAAACGTGATCTCGAGATCGTGTTCAAGATCTTCGTTCGCGATTCGCGAACGAGAGATGCGGAGCACGTTGCGAGTGCGCGACGCAGACGGACGCCGCCATGGTTCGCAATTTCTCGTGGAAGATGTCTGGATCGGTCGGACAGAGGACCGTCCTCGGGATAGTGTCGGCTCGTAGCTGCGAGCGAGCGCGTCGCCGCGAGTGACGACTCTCGTCCCCGCCGCGGAGCCGTGACCATTCGAAATTCCAATGTGTTCCGCGATAACGCGGCCATTTTGTCGCTTATTAACGGATAAACAATCCCGTGCGACGTCGCGCGTCGTCGCGGTCCCCGCTTACGCCAGCGATTCGCCTGGCCTCGAGGCTACACGCACACGTTCTCGCGCGCATGTGCGAGCAATTGAATTTCGCTGGCTCGCGGGCTCTCCTCTCTTCTCTCGCTATTTCGTACGTGTCTCGCCCTCTCTCGTGCGATCCTCGCGCGCGTACGCGGCATGCCAAAAATAGAAAAGCGGGCCGCGTGCCTGTTTCTCGTCGTTCTCGTGGGATTTTTCTGCCGTAATGCGATATTAAGCGCATCGTGCGCGCGCGCGCTCCGATTCACGGGACGCGGCTCGTGGCACTCGCGCGTGAATCTTCGAGGCCGTGAAGATATTCTTATCATGGGCGATATACCTGTCTACCGAAAAACAATAGAACGAATTTTACGGGGATAGATGGCAAACAGAAATGTTGGCAGAAATAGTCCGAGCGTTGAATAAGCTTCGCGACGATACGTACAGCGTGAAAAAAAAATTGTTTTGTCGCTGGTGACTACGAGGGGCATGCGAGGGCGAATTTTCGAATTCCGGTGCAGTGTAGAGTGATCTGTTCTCTTCGGGAGATTGCAGCAAAAACTTGACTAATTTGGATTTACAACGTGAGGGATCGGCCAGAATTACGTAGCAGCATCGATACGTTCGTGTATAAGAGGTTGCCTAGCAACGGGACGCTGGCGGAATTACTTGCGTTTCTCGCGTCCTTTAAATCTGCCTTTAAATCAAGAACAGTCGTCTCGACAACTAAACCGGGAAAATTCGGAAAGTTAGATCCATTTTGCAGCTGTGTCGCAAAAATTGTTTAAAGTCACTGCTCGAATGAACAATACCTTACATTACCTGAAAAATGGACAATTTTTTTAACATCGTTAATTATTGCAAGCGAATATACAGAATGCTTAAAGAAAAAAATATTAACACTGATAATTTGCTTCAAAGAAATATTACCACTTATGCGAAAGTAATTTTTTTCCATATAAGTTAGCATTTTTTAAGCAATAAATATGTATATATATATATATATATATATATATATATATATATATATATATATACATATATATATATGCATTTTTCTTCGACAAAGTGTAGAATGAAAAATTTGCATGCTACATGAGGTACCGAATAGTAGGATTTAAAAGGCAACTTTATTTTGCAGTGACCAAGAGACTCTACCCAACATGCCACCAGATAGGCCAGATGCATCAGGTATTGAAACTGACATAGAATTGAATTCTACTCAGGATTTTAGTTTCGGAGAAGCAGCCTATACGATGAACGACAAAGAGAAGGAAAACGCCAGCGTGCTGGCCGAATCGAAATCAAGCAACAACGAATGCCAGAGCGAAATTTCCAGGTGTGAAAAGTCTATCGAGAAGAATAATCAGTCGGACGACGAGCTGACCTCGCTCAGCTGGCTGCACCAACAGAATTTACTTAAGGGTTTAGAAATCTCTAACCCGTCCAAGGACATGAAGCATGAGAACATGCTGAACAATAATATCTGCGACGATATGGCCGACTTTTCCGAGAACACGAATTCCATATCGAGCTTGGACGATAGTTTCTGTCCAGGTATAACAACGCTTTTTCTCATTGTACTGTCACTACGGATGTTGTCGTGCGATTCATGTATTAATTATGCTGTTTTTTTCTCTGATATTATCGGCAGAGAGTAACGGAAAAACGAATGTTGTAACGCTGAACGGAAATGGACAAAACTATCAGCATCCCGCGAAAAATTGTCAAAAATCGATGCATATATTTCAGGATCAGTCTGTGAAAAGTCACTGCAATACATCACCAAGTAATCAAACGAAGATTTCTTTGAGCAACAATAATTTGCCAATGTCTAATCGCAACAAACATCCTACCCATATACCGTATGATCCTCATTTACACAGAAATAGTAAACCACCGTATTCATTCTCCTGCCTGATATTTATGGCCATTGAAAACAGTCCTGTAAAAGCGCTACCGGTGAAGGAGGTTTACGCCTGGATCTTGGACCACTTCCCGTATTTTAGGAATGCCCCCACCGGCTGGAAAAATTCTGTCAGGCACAATCTGAGCCTTAACAAGTGCTTTCGTAAGGTGGAGAAAGCTCCGGTAAGCACACAGAGATGTTTTCTTGCCGGAAAGATTTTATAAACAAATTTATTAAGGCGTCAATGGCATTTATCGAATAGCGCGCTTACTATGCCTTTTGCGTTTTGTAGAATTTGGGCAAAGGATCGTTGTGGATGGTAGATGCACAATACCGCCCAAATCTGATACAAGCTTTGTCTCGCGCCCCCTTCCCACCACCCACAACTCAAAATCTACCTTCGTCGGAGAAAACACCAAGAAAATGCGCAAATACACGTCTCCCAGATCCAGTTCTCTTTCCATATTTATCCAAAAGACTGGCTTCTAGCAATATCAGTGATAACGCGGAAACCGAAATTGATAGTGATGTCGATGCAGCGGCAGCTGCCATGCTTTCTTTCAAACATGGACCCATCATCTTGAATCACAATAAAGGTATATCTTCTGAATATTTAAGGAAAAAAAATATATATATATTTTAGAATATATCTCTAAAATATATATATTTGTAATATACTTCAAATAATAAAAGCGTGGGGGGGGGGGGGGGGACTTT